GAGAGAGCCCTGGAACGTGCAGCCCGTGCTCCTATGGGCTTCCAAAAGCGACGTTAGGCATTTTGCACCGCCTTCAAACCCTCCCCCGCGGCTGCAAACCCTCCCCAGCGCCTTTGGCCTACTCCTGCACCGCAGCCTTGCCCTCTTCCTCTTCTCGGCAGCTCGCAGGCCTGCCTCTTCTCTTCTTATGGGCTTCCAAAAGCGACGTTAGGCACTTTGCACCGCCTTCAAACCCCCCGCGCACCTTCAAACCCTTCCCAGCGCCTTTGGCGTACTCCTGCATCGCAGCCTTGCCTTGCCTCTGCGTCAGGCGGGAGCCTGGGGAGAGAGCCCCTCCCCCGCGGCTGCAAACCCTCCCCAGCGCCTTTGGCCTACTCCTGCACCGCAGCCTTGCCCTCTGCCTCTTCTCGGCAGCTCGCAGGCCTGCCTCTTCTCTTCTTATGGCACACCATTTCCCTTTTTCTCATGGTCCGCAACGGCCTCTCTGGGCTATTTCTTGCCTACCGTCTTCTGCGCGTTCTTCTTTTGGTCTTTCACCTTTCCAGCGGTGACGTAAAACTGGTTGCCGCACACTGTCCGGTGATTAATTTTTCCCGTCGTGACATTGCTTGCGACCAGGCTCACAAAAAAGGGGTCGGCGGCACCAGGGCGGAGCCCTTACAATATATTCATATATTATGGTTGTTCCCACTGTGACCATTTCATTGAGTTTCTTTAGAAGTCTGTCGTTTTTCGAGCCCCGTGGCATTTTAGAATTCTTTAGGTTTGTAGAGAAACCACCAGCCACCCCCTCCAGTTAGAGTCTCCACTAAAAGGTGTTTGAATGGTTTCAAGTCGCAAAAGGGAGGGTGACCGGGTGGACCTTCTTTTCAGATCTTCCAGATCGCCGTCTTCCAGACCCTTCCGGACCCTTCCGTCTTCCCCGCGCTTCCCGCGCTTCCGCCCAAGGCACAGGATCAGCAGAAAGGTGCCACAAATCAGCAGCAGCACGCGCGCCGCGATGCGCCCGAACCTGGGGTTCGACCCGGTCCGTCACGGGTCCACCACGGAGGGCGGTAACGAGGCGGATGGGCTGCCACTGGACTGCCGAGCTGTGTCTGGTTGGTCATGGCGGAACAAGTCGTGCCCCGCCGGGGGTTTTGCCCTTGGTCCAGCCACTCGCGAGAATGCTGGACAGTGGTTTTTTTTGATACACCTCACTCATCAGAACTCCTGGCGCACAATTTCTCAAAGAGTAGCCCTCCCACATGAGCTCCAGCAACTAGAGTACCACTTGGGCTTTGAGCCAAGCTTTTGTCCACCCACTCCGTTCGACCATTTCGGGAAAACCCTCACACCGCACACCCAGCCTCCGCTCCACGGTGTAGGTGGTCTTCAGCACTTTATGGCTGTCCTCAAGTTTTGAGCAGTGAAGAGTTTGGGCGGCCAAAGGTAAAGTAGGGTGCTCTGGGAATTGATCGAGCACCGCGAAGCGCGCTGCTTCACTCCATTAGCCAGCACCTGCATCGTCTGTCCTTCATGAATTCAACAAAAAAAAGAACGCACACCAGCCCACTGTACCAGCATCCCAGCACCTCCCGTCCGTCCACTTGGCCCCCTGAGAACCCTCCCCACCTCCGCCCCGACCTCGCTCGCTCCTGGCACCCCCCCTTCGTCCGCTCGGCCCAGCCGGTTCCCCAACCACGCAGCGGGGTTCACGGCGAACTTGATCTCGATGGGCGGCGCCTCGAAACGGCCTCGGTCGACGCCTGGATCACTCCCAGCCACACGTGTCAGGCGAAGTGGAAACCGGAAGGAAAAAGGAAGATTAATGTAGACTCCATGGTAAAGTCAATTAAAGTCATGTAAAGTCTCTTCATGTGTGGGGGAGCTTAATGGGGCTTATTAATCAAGAATCTAATCTTTCTAGATCTCACCGGCCAAGACTCAATAAGACCTTCGTCCCAAAAAGAACCGGCGAAGACCTTCGCACTGCCCTTCTCCCATCAAAGGTCCCTTCTCAACGACCGCGGCGCTGGGCACCGAGGTCTTCCACCAGAGCCCCATGTAGCGGCTCACACGGAAGCCCGCGCGCAGCAGGTGGAGCCAGGTCAACGTCGTCAAGAGGACATGCTGATCTGCACGCTGATCGGCTCGGCGCATTTTCTGGGGGCTTCGCAGGAACTGGAGTCTACTTAAAGGACCAGCTTTGGAAGCTCAAGACGTCCGAAGAACCAGCTGCTGTTCCTGAACTAGGCCCTAGGCGCCACTCAAGACCTTAAGTCTTAGCGGTCCCTCTAGGGACGGCCCCTTAGCGGGACGTGGGTCTTCCTGCGTGGCTGCTTCGCTCGTGAGAACGGACGGACCTCAGCCAGCCTCGGTCCACCCAGCCGCACAAGAGCCGTGAGAGCAGCAGAATGCCCGGCACCGCCACCAGCGCGCCCAGCAGCGGCACCAGACCACGGAAGAGCCCTGACCTGGCACGAAACGAGACGAAGGAAAGAGGAGGCGTGGGAAGGAGGTTCACCTCCACAAAAGGAAGTAGATGTTATCGGATGTTGGTAACTGTTGGTAGCTGGTATGATTTGGTTCTATATTTGGATTCTATTTGGTTGATTGATGTTGATTGTCATCTACTTAGAAGAGTAGGAGATTTGGATCTGAGCTTGAACTCAAAATGAAGTAGATCTGACTGCGCTTCAACCATCTTCCACCTGAGCATCAGTCGATCACTCGATCCTTCGCTCACATCAACCCGCCAGAACAGCAGCCAGGGCACAGGGAGACCGCTATGAAGGTCGCCTCAGGAGATCGAGCGCCACACAAAACCGAAGAGGCACAGGACGACCGCGGAAGAACACACAGAACTGTGTCCCACAAGTCTGGGACCTCGGGCTGTCTCATGGACTGAAGATCCGAATACTTCACCCCGCTGCCAAAGCGCTTCAGCAGACCCCTGGGCCCTCCTTTGGGGCCACATCGAAGCCAAGCGCCCTGTTGGGAACGAAGAGGTCGCCACGCACAGACCCGCGCCGCGATGAGGTGTCGGATGACCATCACCTTTTCCCCTTTTCCCCGGGTCGCTGTCTTTCACCCCCGCAACCGTCCCCGGGCCCAAGGGGCGGTCCAGACGAAGCAGAGGAACATGGGGTACATAAAGCTGATGGTGATCAAGTCCTCAGACTTCGGTCGGAGGCCAACACTCTCCAACGATCCGGCTCAGCGAGCGGGCCAGGTCGCGGCGGAGCGAGCGGCCCAGGTCGCGGAGGTCTCGAAAAACCACCCGTGGAACGGTTTTCTTCTGGGGCAGGCGCCGGCGGCTGTTGGGGCGTTCTTGGCGTGCGGTGCGTCCGGAAAGCGGGTGTTTAGGGAAGCAACAGAGCGAGGGGGGTTCTGGGTTTGCCAGATTTTGCCAGTGCTGAGCGATGATGCCACTTGCGTCTTGGGCGGGTGCTTGGCACTCCGAAAACCATGGCCTGGGACCCTACCGACAAAGAACTCCCAATCTCGCTTGGAGCACGCAGCTCGACGAAGCCAAAAGCCCCAAACCGAAGCCGCCAAACCGCAGAGGCCAAAGCCGTGGGCCGGTGAAAACCAACGCTGGACACGTCCTGGGAGATCCCCCAGCTGCACCAAAAAACAGATGCAAATCCCAATCCCTATGGATCCACATAGCTTCTGAGATGGTGATTGGAGACTATTTATGTAGGCTTGGAGGGTCCAATTACCTTTTGAGAAGGTATGTGGATCCATAGGGAATGTAGACGCTACGCCACGACGGGGGTCCCGGCATAGTCCTTGCAAAAGAAGTGCTTCCCAATGTAGACGCATTGATTTTCACAACTTGTTTTTTTTACTTCCAGACACTGAAACCTACAGAGCTCCCTTGAGGGAAAGCATATATGGCCAAATATCAAATCACATTCTTGGAAGTTCCCAATGTAATCGCATCAATGTTCTTTAACTCTTTCAACGTGGTGGGAAAGCGGTAGTGGTGTGTCCGTCTCCGACGCGAGAAGTCCGACGGCATCCGTGCTGCGGCAAAGCGACCGTTTGCGCGGCGGCAAAGCCATGTGCCACGCAACCCCGCAGGAAGTGAACCTGACGTATTCTCGAAGAGTCCGAGGTCTTCTGCGCGCAGAATTGGAGAATACGGGAGACCCCGGTGCATTTCAGATCGTTTCAGCATGCGGTGTATGCCCTAGAGAACCTAGACATAGACTGAAAGAGAGATCTACGGTAACCACTAGACAGCAATCAGAGATGAATCCTGATGAATCTATACTGGGGACCAATGACTTAGGACTTGTTAGGTCCAATGACAAATCCTATGACAGTGGCCAGTATTATATATATATATATCGTTGACCTTCCAAGGTATAGATGTCCTGTACGGTCGCCGTTCACAGCTCCATCCAGACTTCTCAAAGCTTCCCAGGCAGCGACCCCCAATCCCGACAAAGCCTCGCTGGAACCTCGAAGAAAAACCCTCTCCATGATCGGAGTGTAGGGGACCGAAACAGGGATGTGCACCGATAAACAAATCATGCACCTCATGTATTCAACATGACCGCCCGAAAGGCAACGGGCAGGCGCATGTGTCCTCTTGAGCTCTATGCAGCTGTGACACTGCCATCCAGAAGAAGAGCGTGTATTTGAAGAGAGTGGTCAAGAGTCGCCAGCGCGAGTCTAGGCCTCAAAAAGGGCAGGGCAGGGCTGGAGTGCTGTCGAACTACGGAGTAGACCAGCCAGGAAAATGTGTTTTGAGTGCCTGGCTTCTGTGGCGAGCCAACAAGAGGACGAGATGGTTTTCCAGCGACCCGCAGTGTTCAACCGCAAGCCGCAAGATGTACCCACCACAAAACAATAATGAATGTAGACTCTTGATGAATAACCCCCAGTATGAAGAGGATGTTGCACTTCAAACGAGGGTGGTTATTAATCAAGAGTCTACATTACAAAGCATTATCTTGAGTCTGCAAAAGAGGAAAAAACACGAAAGAAAGCAGCACCGTCCAACGGGTCTTCAAACAAATCACCTGCAAGGTCTACAGTCTGCATGCCAAAACTTCAGGGGTCTTCACCTGCAAAGCAGCGCCGGGTCTTCACCGGCCGAACGCCGAACGCGACAACGCCTTCGCAGGACGAACGACTTCGCAGCCGAAACGATGACCCGAGGACGGCGCTGACACTCCGCAGGGTGAAGCCGGAGAGCCCGAAGAGCTGCGGACGCATGACCACCTCGGCACGCGACCCGAGGTAGGGAGGAGCGGGCCGGACTGGACGAGCGGCCGAAGCAGGTTCGTTTTGGGGGTTCAGGGACCGTGGATCTCAACTCCCTTGTGATGTTTGCCGAATCAAAGGTTGGTCAACCAATTTGGATCAAGAATGATAAGTGAGACATAGAGTAGCTGAATAGAAAAGAATTACGCATTTATATCCTTTTACAATAAATGCGATATCACATGATATCACATTGTAAACGGATGTAAAAGATTCTAAAAGGCCATTTACGGCATGTCCATTAGGACTGTCATCGTCGGAGTGGGCAGACTAGAAGTCAAGGTCGGTGGGTGTTAGTTTGGTGGATCGTAGAAGTCAAGGTATCTGCTGTCGTTTCTGCGTGGGTCGGGGTCCAAGTATCTCAAATCATGGGTCAGTTTTGTGGCTCTGGGATGTCCTGGGGTCACCATGCATCCCACTGCCTACCAATCGTCCGACGGAGTCCGTCCGACCATGACGAAGTCCGACGTGTCGGTAGGCGGTCGAGGACTTGGGTGTGGATGGAGACTGTCAAGCGCTGGGTGTCGTGTGTTTGGTGTGGCTGTTTCATCAAGAGCTACATGGCCTCATCATCTTCAACTATCCAACACACGGTCGCTCACATGCATCGCTCGGCACGGAGTCGCGCACGCGTTCACACGCTTCGCTTGACCGGCATCCGCCACGTGTCGACCGCACCGGGTGGAAGAAGGGTGGCGCCTCACTCGCTCCTCGCGGCCCAGCGGCGGAGACGGCCGCCAGGGACCACCAGCTCCAGGCCGTGACCAAGGCGGTGTCCGCCACGTGGTGGGGCACACCTCCCCACCCGTCGGACCACGGACCGCGCTTTGGCGCGAGGGTGCCGGGCATCCCAATCCACGGAGATTGATGCAAAAGGTGGTGCTGTTGGTGGCGGGTCGCGGCCAAAAAAAGAATCAGCACACTCGCAGAGTTGGATCTCTTCACATAATCTAGTATACAACTTGTACATGCCTATACACCCTGGGGAGTCCAAGACTCTTTCTTACGTTCTTTTACATTTGGTGCCCAATATGAAGAGTCAAAACCAGGATACCTTACTTCACCTGGAAGGTCAAGCCGGTGGCTAAACGGGGCTTGACAAATGGCGAAGCGGGACGACACGTTTGCACCTCCCAGGGTCCGCCGCACCACGCCGCTGCCCGCCGGTTGCACCAGCCATGCGAAGAGCCGGCAGCTGGAGCAGGGCATCAGGAGACCCAGCAGGGTGAAGGACACCAGGCCTCGGCGAGGGATGGGAGACACACCAGGTAGCTGGACCTTCGGGCTATGGGGTGTGGCTGGAGGTTTTTTTAGGGGCTATTGGGGGCGAAACCAGCCAGGTGACCCCGACATGAAGGATTCATGTATACCCTGGAAGTGAAGTCGACCATGTTTTAACATGGTTGATCCGGTTTTTGTAGTCTAAAACCCTAGGTAAAACAATGGTGGTTCGACTTCTAGGGTAATTATAGACTCTTAATGAATACCTGGACCATCCTGTCTGGGTGTCCTCGCTGGACCACCCTGCACTACTTACGGATCTTGAACACCCATTGGATGGTCCTGGTATGAATTAATATGAATTCATATAGCCCCCCCCCAATTGGTATGGAGGGCGTCTGAATTCAAGAGGCCTGCATTAGAGTGCTGGGAAGCGAAGAAAAGGACGCGCCTCCGGAAGGAGCTGTGCGAAACCGGCGCAAGCGAAGTCTCGGGATCCAAACCGTTCTTCGGCTCGGCGATCTGCGACTATCGCCGTGTCGGCACTCGGTGTTGGTTCTTGAAACCGTGGTTTGGGTGAAATATGCCAGCTCCTCCTGAAAAAAAAACTCGTTAAGAACCGTTTCGCTGGTGGCCGCGCAGGCTGAAGAGCGTGCCTATACCGTTGCGCTGACCGTGTCCAGCGTTTGGCCTTTGGACCGTTTCGCGGCTTCGCTGTGCTTCGTTGCGCTTCGCACTCGGAGGGCCTCCTGACCAGTTTCGCTGGTTCTATGTGCCAATCAGGCCAGGGGTGGTGTGGGGTGTTCAATGGGGTGACAATGTTCTAGCTTTTCACCCATAAAAGATCATAAGAGATCAGAAAAGCAGCCCAAAGGCAGACATTTGACATCGTTGGAAGATCCAGGTATATTCCAGTCCCACGGGGGCTTGTGGCCGCCTGCGGTCTGCTAAAACGGAACCCGCGGGTCACCGGTCCCGTAGGACAGCGCTTCCGCCAGCGGCGTCCCTTCCCCCCTTCTTTGAAGCAGAGGGATTTGGAGGGGCAGACGTGATGTTCTATTTGGCCTCTACCTATCCAAAGCAAGATCTATAAAACCTCTCCTCTTTGGCCGCCCATCATCACCAAAACGACCTTGTCCCAAGCGCGTCCCTTCCTCAACACCGACCTTCCCAGCGGCGTGGCAGCAGCCCTTTGCCTTGGGCAATGGCTGTGCTCCAGTGGATGAAAAGCCCGGTAAAGGCCTCACGACGGCGACACCCAGGGATCTCCTGGCGCCTCGTCGAATCGACACCCCCAAATGGGAGGGAAAGAAATGGAGGCCAAGCCGTCGTTTTGCATCGTGGTGCTGTGCCCAAATCTCTGCGTTGGGTCTCCGGGTTCTACCCACCTGTTCCTCTAGCCCCAACCGTCGGCGCCGAACAGCCCGGTCTCCCGGGTCTCCCCCGCTCCTCGGGCCGCCCGGTCCCGGGCCGCCCACCTGGAACCATTGGATCTGCGAGACGAAGAGCACGAATCGGATGGTGCGGTTCAAATGCGCCTCGGTGGTGCGCTGGACGCCTCCCTCATCCGCCGGAGGGGTGCACTCGGTGGTGAAAAGCGGCAAAGGGCGAAGAGCCTCCGCTTCGAACTGTAAGATCGATCAAAATAGGTAGAAGACAAGTAGAATAGAAACCACTGAAATCAATCATTTGACATCTGAAATCTGAGATGATGGTTCATGTTTTAACAGATTGTCTTATTGGATTCTTTGGAGCGTCTATTTAAAGAGGAAGACACCCCAGTGGCCCCCAGTCGGTTTTGGAATGTTTTGGATGGCTGAAAGTTGAAAGGTCTACACCCTGGAAGACTAACATGGACCCTGAAAACCACTGGTTGGTAGAGGAAAACACTCTTCCAGGGGGCCATTGTCAGGGTCTATGTTAGTTTTCGGGAGTGTATGTTTCCATTGCCTGCGAGGTCTCCCGAATTCCACCAGGCTTTGCTGCAATCCCTGCAGCGAATGACCCATTCATTGGCTGAAGAGGTTCTGCCAGTCAGTCGCAAGCTAGGACACTAACTTGCCAACAAACTGGGTCTGGTCTGTGTTTCAAGAACTGGTCTAATTACAAATTGAAAGGAAAGCCCATCCAGGTTGATCTTTCCATCAGGTTCACACACCAGATCCCCCACCAAGAACTGAGATCTCCAGAGCCATGGGCCACCCCACGCCACCCCCTTCACCTCCGAACCGCCGCCGGGCTCCGGCCAGGGCGCCGTGGGCTGAAAGATGGGCAAGGCGTCCCCACAAATGCCTCGTTCAAGGCCGACGGGCCGCCCCGCGTCGCGCGCTCGGATCGCGAGGATCTCGAGGGCAGCGGGGTGGACACCGGTTTGGGCGCGCGCGCGCGCGCGCCCGGTGGTGCGTGGGCGCTCGGTTTGGGGGGCTGCATGGCATGACCAGGTCGGGTGCCCCAACAATAGTACAGGTCATCTGCCCCTTGATTTGTGAAAGCAACCTTGCAGGCTCAAATCCCCAAGATACTACACAAATCATTAGGATGCCAATCGTCACTTTTGGAGTGAGGTGAGCTGCAACCTCAGCTGGTGTTTTACTCCTTGGCGCATCGTTTTTCGCCTGGCCGCCCCCGGTGTCGGAAAACCGATTCCACCCGATTCGATCGGGCCCCCGACCACCGCTGCGGCCATCGCCTGCAGGTGTGGGGAAATGGAACGACGAACCGTGGGGCTTCGGCCACCCGGCAGGGCGTTCTGCGCTTCGACGCTTCGGGGCCCGGCGAAGCCGACGCTTCGACGTGCGGAGGCGGCCGGAGGCGGTGAAGGTCGGTGGCTCCGGTGAACCCACCGTTCACCGGAGGCGGGTTTTGGGGGGGTGTAGGACACACGTTCACCGGACGTGCTTCACCATCTGCAGAAACCTCCCTTTTCAGGCCAGTGTGACCAACATCCGCCACATCTGCCCCCTGGAGATGAAAGAAAAAGGCACGGAATACGGCGTCTGACGGACTGGTAGTGCTAGTAACATGGTGTAACAAGGCCACAAAACGGGTGCCGGAGGCCGCATGAGCCAGCCTGTCAGCCTCCTCGAGTCTAGATCTCTGGACTGGAACGGCCCAGCCATTGGTTCTGCATGGTTCTGACATGTTCTGACCACCCTTTCCTGGGCAAAGGCACAATAGCTCTGCCCCAGCAGCAGCGTCAAGTGCCCCAAGGCCAAGACCAGCAGGGGCGTCACGAGCACGATCCGCCGTCGGGTCTGGAGCAAGCGCGCTCGTGAAGGCGGCAAAGAGGATCGAATGGACCGGTAGACCGCTTGCGTTCGGGGCCTCTGTGTGTCTTGAGAGGGGCCTCTGTTTGTTGTACACGTCCTCTAAAATGAGAACTTCAACTTGGCAGCGCGAACCATCAAGGCAGCGAAGTTTTGACTAAGTGTTACAATGTTGGGAAGTGCGAGGTTCTCCTTCGCAGATATATTCTGTGCACTGTCTGGGCACCGTTTCCACGTGGTCATCACTTGTCAAGATCTCGAAATTGTATAGATTTGTGACCTTGTCCACCATGGTTGGAGTAGCTGCAGCAATTGAGAGTGGAGGATTCTGACTGAGGGCAACTCAGGGCACTCAACGTTATTACTGCTACACTACGCAGGAACTGTTGTTCATTTTCATACACTGTCCAGGTTCCCAATTTCTGTGGACTTGTCCACAGAAGCACGCGGTGCTGGACTCCTGCACGATCTAAAAAAGAATCGTCTAGCACCTGGGACTCTTGCTGCGCAGCCAGAAGCGCCCCATATTCGATTTGACGCCAGTTTGATTTCGATGTGTCCGCAAAAAAGAAACACAAAACATCCCAACAGAACCTCCCGCACCTGTCTGCGGATGTGGGTGGATTGCGCATCCTCACCATCTTTGCTACCTCAGGACAATAGCGAGGGACTGGAGCGAGTGAAGGCGCCAGCGCCGTTCGACCATCAAGACTGTAGGCTCAAGTCATTTTTGCAAACCGCCATTCAACGCAATTGGGATTTGAGTGTGTAATATAATATATATATATATATATTTGAGCGAAGAGGTTCGAGGGGCTGCTTTTGGCCGAACACATCAGCAGGCCAAAGGGGGTAGCTTGCCAGTTCATGCACTACCCGGAGTCTTTCGAGCCCAAGAAAAGACACTAGGACGTTGACCCACCAAGACAAATTGACCACTGAACCATCCAAGCTTCCAGCCGCACCTTCCCAAATCCAAGCCGCACTTCCGCGACTGCGGGCTGCCGCGGGGCGACGGCCGCGCCGCCGCGCCGCCCTTGTCCTTGTCGTTCCGTGGGGAGGCACGACCCTGCCGTGGGAACCACGGTAGGCGGGTAGGCGCGGCAACAGCAGGGGAACCGCCGGTGGCTCGCCGACGATCTTTTCCCATGGGACTATAGGGGGTTTCGCTGCAGTTTTTGCTTTGAGTTCTTGCCTTTCCAGTTCTCGGGGGGGTGGGAGGCGTGCGGCTGAGAGCTGCTTATATCGAAGTGGAAGAAGACATCCTTGACTGATTAAGGTATATAACTATATATATAAGGATCTATAAGCAGGTGTAAGTCTAATTTGATATTGTTGGTGTCACAGAAGTTGTCGCCCCTTTGGTTGTTTGGAGAGGCTCAGTGCCGGTCACTGCTCTGAAAACTTCTTCCGGTTTTCACCGCTGTCTCGAATGGTTGATGTCCAACAGCCCCCAACGACCCGCTCCGCTGGCATCTGACAACCCCCCTCCCAAAGAATGACTTGAAACAGGCTCCAAAATGCAAGTGTTTTCTCGCCGAAAAAAATCCAACAGAGTGTCTTTTTGGGGGGTCTCGAGCGGTGCGCAACAGAGTCTACGCCGCTCACTGACCCGCTCTTCCACATCTTTCAGTGGGGCATGGCTTCGTCTGTGCACATGTTCACGTGTGAAAAATATGGGCCAACCCCGGGAAACGCCACCGCACTACGCACTACGCACTACGCAACCCAAATCTGGACCCTCCAAATGGAACGGTTCTTGGAGGGCGCGCGCCGCTGTGATGAAGACCTTCGTCTCTCTTGTTTGGGCGCGCGCGCGCGCGATCTCCGCCTCCAGCAGCAGCATCCGCCGAAGCGTGGGGAAGTCGTGGTACAACTCCCAGGCCACCGTCCACATGGAGCCTTGGTGCTCTCAGGATCCAAGGTGAGCCGCAGCCCGAATCCTTTACTTAGGGCTGTGGACTAAAGTTTGGGGCTGAATCAAGCGATTCGTTGGGATGCTACGAAGTCTCTGATCAAGCCGGAAGGTCTGCAACCCAGACTTGGGAAGGAAAGCATTTGGCTCGGCTCGATTCTTGCGCCTCAAATATTCTGGCAAGAGACCCCTTCTGGCAAGAGACCCCAAACAGATCCAAACAGTGTTCAGATGATCAGGGTGATCAGTGGGAAGATGATTTTGTTGCCCTAGTCATAGTGGTAGTGAAGTGGTATCGGAAAAGTGTTGGACCTTTGTCGAAAATAATGGTTTGCTGTGTGAATGTTTGACAGCGGCATTTCTGCTTTTATGATCTTGGAGGATATTGATTGGAAGAACAAGCCATGGAAATCATGGGAACCTTGTTGAAAGGGCATGACCACACTTTAACAGCTAGCTCCAAACCTACAAGTAGCTGGGAGCCGCTTACAAAAACAACTGGATTTTAACATAGCCACCTGTGACTTCGCCCTGCACGACAAGTGTGCCGTCTCATCTAACCATCTTCAACTGCCGCGTGCCTCACACATGAATACACATGATACCTAGTTGCTGCCCTTCTGATACACCATGTGACAACCACGAATGGACAGTTGTGAAGAATGCCGCTAAAAGTCGACTTGAGACCGCCAAAAACACGAGGATTCCTGTACGCCTGCCACGAAAAGTGACCACCGAGTCATAAAATGTGCACAGCACCACAACAGCAGCCTCAGGAGCGCAGTCGAGGAAATCACCCACGCGTTCGCCAGAGAGTTTCTGCGTTCGCCTGCGAAGTCGAAAGGGTCCAAAAATACGAGACCCCCATCATGGTGAAGCAAGTCCTCCTCGCCCAACCTACTTTCATCGCCCACCAGCGCAAAATTTCCTCGCCTCTGCCGCGCTTCCCAGCAGCCCAGGACCGCCCCATCCGTCGGCCAGACCGACCGCTTCGAGGAGCGAGCGAAAAGAATGATCAGGCGGATGACGCTGTAGTAGACATAGCACAGGGCCACGGCGCGCAACGGTTGATCGCCATACCTCGGACGAGGCAAGGCCCGACCCAGCGACGCGGGCGACGTGGCGCGCGGGCGACGTGGCACGCCGGAGCAACGCAGGCTTCGTCACCAGGGGGAACTGGTTCGGAGTGAGGGCGGCTCAAATCGCCCGAATTCTTCGAACAGTTCGTTAAACATCGAAGCCTCAAAAGGAAAGAAAGAAAGAAACTTAAAGTTAAAGTCGTGCAAAACCTTGCTCCTGAAAAATTCAGGAAAGCGAACACTCACCCCTCTGAATTTTTCGCTAGTAACGACTAGAGATCAAGCTCTAGAGATCAAAGCATGGCATTCCATGGCACACTGGTAGGGTGCCCGCGGGCGCCTCCACTGCGGTACTCCTCAACTCGACGGAGTGAAAATCGTTGAAACATGCCGTCGACATTCGGTCTACATTGGAACACTGAGGATGATATCAATCATTGATCATTGATAGCAAAATAGAATAAACACCAGCCCAGGAATTTAAGCAGCAGCACATAATTGATTCCACAAGTTTATCAAGAGTGCGGCTTGATTGTGTTTGCCTCTCGAGAACCTGAAGAATGATTGAGCAAGCATGATCGTCAGAATGTGCTCCCTGTTCCTTTGTCCGTTTGAATGAACCAAATATCTTGCTGACACTACACTGTTGACCCAACGCTGCAACTACAAAATGAAGGTCCCTGCCGCCTAGTCTATCCGTCTATCCCCTTGATTGTATAGCAGTCCAAAGGAAGTTGACACCAGGCACTGGTCGTTCTCATGCTGTTCAGTTGACAGGTGTTGAACAGCTTTGTTCATGCTGAGCGTCACGATGCGCACACTCATCACGGCCAGGAGCACCACCAGGAACATCCAGACCAAGCCAAGCGCTTGAGAAAAGATGTAGAGTGAGCCGAAGGAAAAGCCTCGACGACGGGCGCGCCCGTCGTCCATCCATGGCTCGAGGCGACGGCTCGAGGCGACGGCTCGAGGCGACGGCTCGAGGCATCCGATTCGTGTTGTGGCGTTTAGGGAGACGTCTCGTCATCAACTGCGCTGGGTGAAGCTTTGAAAATGAAGTACTGTAAGTCATTTGCATCATTAGTCTACCACCAAGATTTAGTACTTATAGTGATTCAGTATCCACAAAATGTCCGCAGCCAAATACTGATTTGGTAGATCGATACTGAATTCAGTTGTATTCGGTTCACGGTTTCCTCCGTGACGGACTGTTCTCAGACCTTCCCGCAGACCGACCGACCCAAGTCAACCGACCTGGACTTCGACCCACTCCCTCGACCACCACCTCGACCGGTCGAACAAACGCGTGGTGAACCGCGCGGCGGCATCTGGGTGTTAGCTGAGACTCCTAATTGTCCTCCATGTTGGAAAAGTCTTGGGACACCGTTCTTGAAACACCTTCCAAACAACAATCACCAAGTCAACGGACTCCCCTACTCTTTTGGAGCATCACCGTATGTCACATGTTCCTTTCTTCCTGTGCTTCGCACCATCACTCGCACCCCCCCCGAGGAACGCTTCGAAGCCAAACGCGAACTCGCCCGTCACAATAGCGAACCGGTCTCCGACCGTCCGAGGGGCAGGTCTCTGAATGAGGCACGTTCCGCAAGAAGAGCGAGGGGCAAAAGTGCGCCGTGGCCCAGACGAAACTCCCCTGCGACGCACCGCGGAAGCGGCTTGCGTGCGACGGAAAGCGTGCGGAAAGCGTCGTCACAAAAGGAAGTGCGAGGGAAGGGCGTTCCACGATGGAACGAAGAGATCGGGAGTTTTGTTTGAGAAATTCGTCCACCGGAAACCAATTCGCATGGTTCTTGGGAGGATGAAACACCGAGACCGGAGTGTCCCACTACGGTTGTGGGGGTCCGCTTTCGCGTGTCGACTCGACTTCCACCGTCTTTGCTTAAATATGATTTAACCAGACGCTCCAAACAGCTCTTGGTACCTCAAAACCCTAGGGATTTGAGACCCCAGACCCCTCCATATGAGGGTCCGACCCCTCCATATGAGGGCTCATGTCCCGCCCATGAGCGTCTGGGTAACCCTAAACTTCCAAAGTCTTCGAAAATCTGAGTCTTCGAGCAAAGACTTAAACTGGGAATGAAAGACTTAAAAGAGTCGCTGTATTTGACCTTTCCTGGAACCTATATATGTCATGTTGAAGTGATCTGAGCAGCATCAAATAAAGCTTCAACCCATGTTTTCGCATGTGCATGTACATAGTCTCAATCGTCAAGCCGTTTTCCAATCCTTTCACCGGGCACGAAGCCAATCTGGTTATCCTTTGTGTGGACTTTTTTCGTGGACAGTGCTGTGCAAAACATGTTTCAGGGGTGGTGGTGTCCACGACCTGTTTAAGTCTTTCCACGACTTTTTTTAGTCGGTCCATGCCTTTTTCAAGTCGTTCCACGGTTTGTCCATGGTCAGTCCACTGTTCATTTAGTCCGAATGGGCAAGAAGATCCGCACGCGTCACAGATACAAACATGCGATCAGTATAAATCCAGTCTGTGCAGTAGCAATTCAAAAGAAATTGACAATAAATGTGTTGAACTTATTTCACCGTAATTATGTTCCATGCACTGTTGATTCCTGGCTTTCAGACCCCGTGCTACCATCCAAAGGGGATTGTGTCGCGGTATGTCTAAACAGTACACTTTTAAGTCGAGGCTGCAAATCTAAGTCGAACTTAAAACAATTAACTCTTGGACGCATAGGGTTAAGGTCTTTTTGCGTTCCAACTTGTGGAGAGAAGCCACACTTCAACGCCCCACCCCACCTTGGCACATCGGAAGTCAGGGAGGGTCTTCCATATCCTTGCATCTTCCATCTTCCATCTTCTTCCCAGTCGACCACTCAAACCATAGAAATCTAAGAACCTCAAATCACCGGGTCGTCTTCGTCTTCGTCTCGCCGGACGTTCTCCCTTCATCCATGTCTTCGGAATTCTTCGGAGCTCCGGCCCTCCGGCCCTCCATCCACACGCGACAGCGCCTGCCATCGCAGCAGCCGGCGCTCCAGGCTGCTCAGCCCATTCAGCAGCTTGGGCGCCATGAAGCCGGGGTGTCAGGTGGAGCGGCTGGGGTGGGTCGCGCTCGGATCTGCGTTTCGGTTCCTCTGGAACGGGAAAGAACATGCTTGAGAACCACCGAAAGAACACATCCTGACCTGGGTGGATGCGGAGATCTCAGTCTTTGCAGTGCCCCAAATTGGACCGACTTCTTCCAGCGGTTTCTGCACTTCCCCCCAACCGCTGCAGGCTTCTTGTTGTTTCTTCGTTGTCACGGGTCTCCTTTTTTCGGGGACCGGATGCAACGATAGTGAATGACAGCTGAAGACGGCTGAAGACATCTTTTTGCAACGAGACGGCCGCAATTGAACGAGATGCCGTTGGACCCATCTCGTTTCAAGACTTGCTTGCTTGCTTGCTTGCTTGCTTGCTTGCTTGCTTGTGTGGCGAGCCGCTAGATCCGATGAGTTTCGGAGCGTTTCAATCTTTCTGGTGGATGTGCTCGCCCGTTCGCTCGTTCGGCTTTCGCTTCATTCTTCCGATCATATTCCCGTCAGCAACCTATCACTTGGCTCGAGCCGCCAATCGACGTATAAGCCCACCGATCCTCTTGGGCCTCTGTGTTCTCTTGCAGCCACACAGCAGAGTCAGACTATAAAAAGACAAAGACTGGCCTCGAGCTCAGCGCCTGGCGTGGCCACAGTTGACCTACAGCCCTTTCAAGAATAGGTGACAGTGACTCCCCTTATTCTTCAGCATCAATGGCCAAATGCTTGCTAGGTCACACAGGTGTCACTGGAAAAACCCCAGGCTTAAGCACTGGGTTTCTTCCCCAGGAGCACCTGGATCTTCCCTGGGACCTCTCGGGACCTCTCCCTCCCAAAGCCGCCCACCGCACCATCCGGTCGGTCTCATTGTGGCTCCGTGCCAATGGGGAGGTGCATAGAGCGGCCGGTAGTGAGGCCTTGACATGCAGCGCCCCCCCACAACGCGAAGTCACCGGGAACCCGCCAAGGGTCGAGCCGTGGAGGCACACGGGGGACCGGAGCGTTTTCTGAAGTGGAGAAGTAGATCTTCGACCCTCCATGGCCAGCTCAAAAGCACGGGTGAAGGCCAAACACCGACGTCGAACACCATGTCGACGGCGACAAAGACTTCTCCACTCCAAACAAAACGAAAGGCATCGAGCTACCAAAGTCTACCAAACTGCTCGATCCCTCCGGCCACAGGCTGAGTTCGGTCGAAACCACCACGGGTCCATGCGATCCGTAGCCGGAGGAGGTCGCCGGTGGTTCGCAGCGACAACGCCGGTGCTCTGAACATCTGCTTTCACCCCAGCGACGGATGCGGCCATCCATGCGGTGGATGCGGCGGCCAATGCCTCAGCGTGGATGGAAAGCTCCCGGCGGCTGGAGCGAATTCGTCGGGAGAACTGTCAGAGCTGCTGGGAAAAACAGAGGTGTGGTATATACCAGGACCCCCGGACCAGGGGCTTCTATTGATAGCCCCGAAAAGAGGTGATTCGGGGTGTCCATTAACCACCCCTTCCGTGGGTCCTGGTATGAGTATATGGATAAGTCATCAAACCTTGGAACCTACCACCAGCAAGACAGAATCAGACCGTGGTGCTGAAACAGCATGACACCTCCAGCTCTTCCAGGATTCATCTCTTCTCTACATACCTACTTCGGTGCCTTGCACTCCATCATTGTGCTCCTCTGAAAAGCTCAACGCACCCCGAGCAACCATCTGCATCGGGGACCAAGCAAGCACGAAGACCAGCCATGAATACAGCGTCGGTCACGTCACGGACGATGATATCTATCCACAGATGCTGAAATCCCAACAGAGGTTAACTGACCTCATAGGGTCCTGGGGTACCTATAGGATAGCCTATAGGGTTCTTCAACCTCTGCTGGTCCTGCCTCGTGGTGAGGGGACCTCTCTCGCAAACCATCTCCATCCCCCCGAGCCGCCCCAACCCCGGCGGCGGCGGCCATCGAGGGTGACCTGCACCGGTCGCCGCGAAGAAAAGAAAAGCCCCACCAGGAGGTTTGAAGGGCTAGAAGCCACTAGCAACAAGATGTAACAAGGGCATTACTACTAGTAGCTAGAAGCTACTACGTAGTAACAAGGGTCTGTACCAAAACAAGCCTCGTTTGACGGGAGTTTGGACGACAAAACCAGGATCAACTCTTTTCTGAAGGTGTGTTGGAAATCTGGGGCATCATTGATGCAACAATGTCCTTCTTGGGGCAAATACAGGGCCAACCCTTTACCGGTTGGTTGTTGAACTGTCCAACATACGAGGTCGCACTATCCAAGGCGACGAAGTCC